TKKTKRWTWAAAAAATGGTATTAATGATTTGTATTTTGTGTATATAAAATGGTGCATATAACCAGGATGTAGTTGAAGTATATGTGTGTTTTTTTGTGTATTTTGTTTTTGGGAATCCATTATGAATTGTAAGGTGAGGCAAAACAAGCCATTRACTTCTGCCTCTACCTATTTGGTCATATAGGGTCACAGTTTTGTTTGTTTTTGTGTTGAGTGTTCTTTAATGTGACCAAATAAAATCATTCATTMAAAAAAAAAACATTTGAGGTGAACTGGATTGCAGTTCTAAGCCGAGTCAGGAAGAAACTCCCCGTGTTAGTAAGAGGTTAGATGTTAGGCTCATTTCATCGGGCAGCAGACATACAGGTAAAGGGGTCTTACTGTGCTCAGGTTTGGGTTGAGGGAGCTGGAAGTTTCTGGCGGGAACACGGACAGGCAGATTGAGCAGCGGCACGGGTCGAGGCGGCTCGGACACATCCAGAGAGCTGAAGCAGCGCCGGACGGCAGCAGCAGGCGGAGGCCAAAGATTAGAGGTACTGGAKGCGGGTTTGGGCCCGCTGCTGGAGCCTTGCGTTTCAGTCGTGGCAGACGAATAAAAAGAGAGCTGACGGGAAGAAGAGGAGGGAAGATGGGAGGGCAACAAAGGGGGATGTGGCGCYAAGGAGGAGAAATGCTGGCTCGCAGGATTGTTCAGGTTGAAGCAGCTGGTCGCTCGACTCTGCCACCGGATCTGTTGGACGTTTTCCTCTCTGGACTCTACGTGGACGTCCAGACAGCTGCCCACGCTGCGAGGCCGCAACGATGACGACTTCTGAGCCACAAGCATCGGCCTAGACGATTTTTTCCTTCTTGTAACTCCTGGAGTGTTTTCACAAGCAGCAAAGTTCGTCTTTACCACAGATGCAGAGTCTGAGCAGCGGTCCTGTGAGGTGATGGCAGGGCTCACGTCCTGGCTGCTGCTGCGAGAGCAAGACGCCAGGCTGTCCATGGATGAAAACTGTTCTTGCTGAGCGATGAGAGCCGAGGTATCGAGGATAGTTTCCAAGGAACAGCTCCTCGTTTGAGGTCTCGTGGACGGAACTGTGCTCGGGCAGCCGCCTCCCACATCCCGTTCCGCCGCCGCCGTCACCAACCGGGACTGAAGCTTCCCGCCGAGCACCTCTCTCATAGGCGACTCCGCCTCSTCACACGACCCCTGCCTGAGCAGCGACAGGAGGAGACACTCTGTGGAGCGAAAGGACGACTTGGCCGGAGGTGGAACAGCGGGAAGTTCRGGCTTCTTACGTTTCCCAGGTTGGAGCTGATTGGGCGCCGTGATGTAGCCACAAAACGCTGAAAGCAGATGCAGACAAGGAGGGCGAGCAAAGAGAGAGAGAGAGAGAGAGACAGAAAGTGCCGAGCGGTGCAGGCAAAGGGTTCGTGCAAGCAGACAAGTGAAGGGGTAGGGAGAAGGTTTAGTTATTTTAGACGTGTAACACACAAACAGAGATATCAGCTGGTCACAGAAAACACAAGCAACAATAAACACACAAGTACAGCTGTTCAGACTCCTGTTAGCAACCAACCAAAACCTCTGTTAAGAATCAAAACCGATGTTAGGAGACTGGTCACATCAGGGGATCTATGTCAGTACAACTATCCCAACAATCTTCTTGTCCTAAACGACAGACAGGAAGTAGTAAACCTACCCAGGACGTTGATAAACAGTTCGTACAGTTCATATGTGAGCAACGGCCGCGGAAGGCTGTAGAAGTAATCCGACACGGTTTTGAAGACATCCCTTTCAAATCCAGGATATGATGGCTGGTCGCTGTCGTACTTTGGCCCTGGAAGTAAAAAAAAAAAAGAGGAAATCACTTCAGCTAAAACAAGAGGGGTTTATCATTTTGAATACAAGTGGTTTACTGCTACTTACAGTTAGCCAGGCTCTTCATGGCAGATAAAACCCAATGTGGAAGATCATCTACGAAAGGTTTATTCACAGGTTAGACCAGTTGCATGTTGCAATATTTGAAATAAAATATAAATATGTTAGGGGTGCAACATTACATGTATGTATTGAACTGTTCAGTGCTTTAGGTTCAATACACACTATATATGAAACAAAACAGATTTATAACTTTTATTTTATCAGCTTGTCTTCTGAAGATGCTCTGTGTTGAAGGATCAGTGGATCTGTGTTCCACTGATCCACCTAGGCTACATTTTTGAGCGCAGATCAATTGAGAAACTTGCTGTTTCAGCAACATTTAATTTAAAAACTGTACTTTTTAGGTTAAACAAATGCTCATACTTAATTTAAATAAATTACAAGTTAAAAAGACCATGGACATTTCTCATTTTTGTATCGAAAAATAAAAATAAAAAATTAATTAAAACATCGAACCGTGAGACTAAAGTATTGAATCGAACCGAATCGTAAATTTTCTGCGTCGTTGCACTCCTAATACACACCACTAGTGTGTGTGGGGGCATGTTTTTGCTACATCGCAGGAACCATTTTCCAGAAAAAGACAGCCTCGTAGGGACCGAATGTACGTCGTGGAGACCAATGCCCAGCCCCCACGGGTACGGACGGTAATTTTGGGTGGGGTTTGGTTTAGGACCATGATGTGAATTGCATTTAGGTTAGTTTTAGGGTCAGGTTGGTACCTTGTAATGCGATGGTCATTCGTAGGAAGAGAGCTAGCTTAGCATAAACCATGTGCTTACAGTGTAGCTCTGAAAAGAGCGACAGCTTTTTTGGTTCCCACATATACTTTATTAGACTTGAAACCATACAAAGCCAGGTCTCCACAGCACTAAATCTACATTCATACATGAATATATAGATAATAGTCCATGATCCCTCACCATCATTCATTACCAAGGTTGAGCAACAGAGCAGCTAAGTGCGTACACACAGCAAGGCTTTAGCTCTGAACTCTTAGCATTCACAACGTCCTATATTATAACAGAAGAGGCGCCATCGTGTGGCACTAAAAGAGGTACTACAACAGTGATTTACATATTGACTGTTACAACCTGTGAGGTTAATTTTAGGGTCAGGTATGTGAGATTAATTTTAGGGTAAATGRTCAGGGTTAGGCTATAAAATTACCAGAAAATGAATGGAAGTCAATCCACGGTCCACACGGGGATATAAAAACAAACCTGTGTGTGTGTGTGTTTTAAGCTTAAAATAATTTAATCTGCAATTTAGGCTTCTAATCATTTGTTGATTATTAATCAACCTACTGGTCTTGTCTTCTAGAGTGACCACTCCATGCTTGTTGACTTTGGTCATGTTGTGGATGATGTTCTGTGGATTTATGCATCGCAGCTCTAAAACCTCATGAAGAGACGAAACACCCAGAATTCTCTGCAGGCTGAAACGCAAAAGAAAAACAATATTTACACACAAAAAAATGGTACTTGATTTCTGGCTGTAACATTTCAACTTTTGCTCTGATCTCTTTCATCACATTTAAGTTCTGTAAAGTAAAACAATTAAATGAAATGTGTTTTTTTTTTTGTTGTTGTTGTTAATTGTGTATATACTGGGTCAGGGTGATGTCTCTCCAGATTTCTTGTTCATCCTCGGCCGTCAGCTCCCGTCTCTGTTGCTGCTGCTCCTCTACTGGCTGATTCAATCCCTCTTGCTGTGTTTGGAGGGCAGGGTCTACATTTTCCTAAAAAAAAGGCACAGAAAGCAGCATTTTGTTTTTCAATGAATAGAAAATTACTACTGAGCTGCTGCGTTTTTAAAACAAACTGTACCATACATTTACTTGCATGTTTATCTGCTAAACGTAAATAATAAGCAGAGATGTGAAATTAAGATAATACCAAGTCCTGCTCACCAAGGTCTCCTCGTTCTTCTTGATACTTCGAAACTTAAAGAAATCATCTTTGTCCCTGAATGAGGGTCTTCTTCTTACGAAGCTGGAGGCTGAAGCTTGAGCTGGACAKGGAATGGGCTTCAGAGGAGAAGTGGATGGGAATCTGAGAAAAGAAATGACAAMGACAACTTTACTTTATGTCAATAACAATTTATTTATGTTCCGTTTTCATCTTTTAAAAACATCTTGTGGCGTAGTGCAATGTTTCCACCTGTAAAGCACGTTGTTGTCCTCCAGATCCTCTGTCCCCCAGCGACCCTTCACGTCTTCAATGACGTGGTTCTTCAGAAACTTCTTCAGGAGCTGAACGGTTTGCTGCCTGGTGACGTCCGGGCCGAAGTTGTTGTTGCTTCGAAGCAGCTGGTGCAACCAGTCCACCGCCGCGGAGGCCGTGAAGCAGGAGGCGTGATGCCGGAAGTTCTGGCGGTGCTTCCTGAGGGGCATGCCCGACCGAAACAAACGCGTCACCTCGTTCCACTGGAAGAAAACAGGCACGAGTCCTTACATCTACTAACAAGACAAAACTGGGGTAAATGTTATAAAGTTTAGCTAAAAACTTTCATTACGTTTTAGACAYGCAGAGCTGAAACTAAACACGCTCAATAATTAGCGTTGCGTCTGACATCTGCAAAGCATTTAAACTTTTTATTGCACGACGGGACAGTTTTAGATCCCGGGCGTCGTCATGCTGAAAGCAGGCAAAACAAAACTGATTGCACAGTAAAAATTCTACATAGCAAGGGATTTTTTTTAACACCTCAAGATAATCATCATTTTATTTTTCATATAAATGGCACTGCATACAGTTAATATAAATGGATAACACAATAAAGCATAAAGCTTATTTCCATTGTGGTCCAGCACACAAGATTAAGATTAAGACCAAGATTAGTAGTCTACAGTRCAATAAAAACAGGTTGGAAATATTGGCCACGGCACATTTATTAAAAAAAAAATCAATTGCATTTTAGACTGGACAAAACTAGAATGAGATGAGATTGCTCTTCTTTTGCTGATAATAAACTAAAACATTTTATTATTCATTTTCAAGTTCACTGAATAGTTGAAGAACAAAACGCATTTCACTGACACAAATCGGTGAAATGCTTTATTTTTGATTTATTTGATCAAATCGTAGCAGCTAGCGCTTGTAACAACATAGCATGACATTAGCTAACAAGTTTTAGCTTTGAGTTTTACGCCTAAACTTACCAGTTTCGTGGCTCGATACGGTCCAGGAGTGATAACATGCGTGCTCATATTCATGACTGACACCAACACTTCATCCGAAATAACGAGAGGGACAAAAACCCATTATTTAGGTCAGTAATTATCGATGTTTTTGCTAGTAGCTTTAGCTTACAAGCACTCGCTGGCTGCTCTCCTTCTGTTTAAAATTACGAGCCGCGTGATTCTGGCAGCTGATTGGACGGTGCCCGGATCACGTGACCACTGCTAAACGGAGAAGTGACGGAAGAGGAAAAAAACAAAAGAAATGAACATTAAAACACACACACACTTTTGGATATTAGGTACATATGACACTTGCTAAGTTAGGAAATATACCAAAAATAAAGCAGTATTTTCAGGACTGGGCTTTCATCGGCTATGAGTGTGATTATTATGCTATGAGTGGCTATTATATACGATGTTAATTATACTTAAATATTTATGYAATTGAAGAAGAGAAAACACAGATGAGCACAGCAATACTTTACACCTGCCGTGACCCGGATTCGAACCGGGGTTGCTGCGGCCACAACGCAGAGTACTAACCACTATACGATCACGGCRTGCTAATCRTTGGGATAGTCAGACAGGAGTGGAAGCCAGTGATCCGTTATACAGGACATGTAGTCATGGTTTATCGGATAGCAACGTTACCCAACTGAGCTGACTAAATAAGCGGTTAAATATCATAAAAATAGAGAGATATTCGACACATTATGAACTCCATTCCTTTAATTCTACTGTATTTGTCTCAACAAAGCGAATATTTGTGTGAGGTTCCGCTGCGGTCTGGATGTGGGTGTGGTTTTTGTCCGTTTAAAAAAGTAGTCGGACGCTGATTGGTTAAAAGTTGTGTATTTTTGACGACTGGATCCATTCTGCTCACCCATTGGCCGTGACGCAGCAGCTGCTCACTTCTGATTGGCTGGTTGTTTTCTACAAGATTTCAAACATCAGTGCTGGTGTTGTCTGATGTTCGCTAGCTTACCAGTTTTCACGAGGATTCTTGATGCCTCGCATGAAAAGTCACCGTGAATCTTTGAAAGGCTTGTTTTGAGAAAGGTCTTTCTTTTCATTCAAAATGGCTGAAGCGGTAACTTCAGCGCGACRAGGAGTTTTGGACTTCAGTCCGGTAAGGAGAAGCGACGCTAACAAGGAGAATGATGTTCCGGTTCTGAGCTTGATCCAGTTCTCGAAGCCTCCGTTTGTGACTTTCGGCACGGTAAAGTTGGGCACCTCGAAATCTGCCGTTCTGCTGGTAGAAAATCCTATAGATGAYATGAAAGTGGAGGTTACAGTCGATAAAATCCCGTCCAGTAAAGGCTTTTCTGTGGACCACAGCACGTTCACTATTCAGGTATGTTTAACTGTTTATCCACGTGTTTCTATTAATTGATGTAGTTTATCACTTCCTGTTGCCTTGACACTGTCTGTGCTTCGTGTTTTCTGTTTTTCCAGCCTGAGAGTTCCTTCAGTTTGACCGTAACTTGGACTCCAACAGAGGAAGGTGGGAYCAGAGAGCTCCTCGTCTTCAATGCTGGGGTTCTCAGGCACCAGGCTGTGCTGCTTGGGAGAGCAGAAGCACCAAGAAAGAAAAAGGTAGCTTCACACAGAAGACTGGCATTTTTCATCTACACATGCTTTTAAGCTGGGAGCTAAATGTTTATGAGAATTTCTTGTGTCTGAGGCCAAAAGGAGTTTTAAAGGGGACACTTGATGCAAAACCCACTTTAATTTTGTTGTGTACTTGGAGTTTCTAAGAGTGCTGAAAATTTGAATTTAGTCTCACTAGATCAGGGATGTCCCAAAGTGTGGCCCGGGGGCCATTTGTGGCCCCTGCTCTGATTCTGTGTGGCCCCTGATTTTAGTTCAAGAGTTATATTAACTTGTTTACAAATCTGTCCACCCCCCGGCACAGGTGTTTAGTGTATCACAGACAAAGAAAAACCTTATAAATAAAAATATTGGCAACAATACCAAATATTTGTCTTTTAAATAACCAGGCTCTTAGCTTTTTCCACATCTGTCTAGCGACTTCTGCTTAAAAGCTGACGCTGCCCTCCAATCTGCTTTTAATTAATTTATTAAATTCGTCTGAATACAGCAAGCATTTTCAACAAAACAGCGACCAAAATCCTGATTTTATTGATCAGAATTGACTAAATTGAAACCTAGAAAATTGCTAAATTTCTTTCAATAAGGGAAACTTGCAAAAACACTTTTGATGTTCTGGATCTTGATTAATTTGCATATCCATTTCCAGCAATAAATCTGACTAATTTATTTGTTTAATTGAAGTATTCAAATGCTTAGTTTATTGTTGAGCAGGTAAAGGAAAAATATTTTTGGCCCTCAAGTCCTTCTGACTTTATGATTTTGGCCCATGTGACAAAATGTTTGGACACCCCTGCTCTCTATGCTGCATAAA